TTTCGCAGATGATACAGGAATTGTCGTGAAGTCCAAAAATCCCAACATTGCCTTACAAAAACTCCAAGAAAAGATCACAGAAATAGAAACCTGGTGCCTAGACTGGAAGTTTAAAGTAAACGGCCAAAAATCGAAACTACTAATCATTCAACATAAAAGAAAAACGATCCTCCCTAAAAATCAAGTTGTACTCTTTAACGAAACGATACCCATAGTCAAAACAGCAAAATATCTTGGTCTGGTCATAAACAGCAAATTTAATTGGAAAGATCACGTCAAAACAGTCATCAACAAAGCACAAACAGCCTGCCACAGATTACAAATCCTTCTTCAGAACCCTAAAATGGAACTCAGACTTAAACGTTTACTTTACATCTCGATGATCCGTCCCATCCTGACTTATGCATCTCCAGCTTGGTGCAACATCTCTACATCACTCCTTAAAAAACTCAAAATATGCCAGAACAAAATCCTCAGGAAAATAACAAAAGCAAGATGGTTTATCCGCAATAAAAACATACATAGCGACCTCAACATAGATTTTTTAGATCATCACATTGCAAAGCAAAACTTCAGATTTTTTGAAAAGACCATAAATTGTGACACCGCAGGATTCAACGAAATTTTTACTTTTGAAAACTTAAGAGAAGACATAAACCTCAGACCGATGGCAGCTCATTTTTGTAGTGACGTAATTTTAACTAAAATACAAAATATTTAATTTCCTTTTATTCCAATTGCATTCCAATTACCAGAAAGAACCACCTTAAAGACCACAATACAAGACGAATGGGAAAAAGGCCGTTAACGGCCCCAGGCTCCTAGATATATTTCGATGATGATAATGAAAAAATGAAACCGTTGTCAGATGAAATTTTATTCAGGTCTAGCATATATGCTTGATTTACATCCATGTTTTTTGGAAAGGTGATACATGCATACCTGCCAACTTGTACAGTCGTTGTTTAGAAAGAATTATGTTTGGAAGAATTTTCCAAAAACATAGCTACTAGGACATAATCATTCAACTTCACTTATAAAATGGAGCTAGGTACATGAGCCAAGCATGAGACCCATCATTCATTATGTCCATAATAGTCAGTGAGGTTGATAAATTATATATAAAAAAAATATAGGAGAGGAAAGAATATCATTGTTCTTTTAGTTCAGGAATGGGCAAACTTTTTTTGGTCGAGGGCCAAAAATCGAGAAAAAAAAGTTTGGTGAGCAGAGTTAAAACTTCTAAAATAAAAATTCTAACTTCTAAAATAAAATGAAGTCAATTCATCATTTAACGCATGGTACTCTAAATCAACTTTGCGTTTTTTAGTTGCCATTTTGAAGTGCAAACAATTTATAAATAACTCAAAAAAGCAGTAGCCATTTTATACATTTAATAATTTTACCATTATTTACAATGACGTTGTATGTGCGCAATTTTTCCATACGCAGTAAATAATGTTAGAACTCGCGCCGGCAGAAAAATCTTCTCGTTGGAGCTTAAAATGCGCAGTCTGCCACATGTGAAGTATTCACCTATATTAGATTCCGTATGTCTGCTCCTCGAGAAAGACAAACGCTTGTTGAATCCAATCTATGGCTATTCTATAAAGAACTTCTGCTTTCAAAATTTTACCAATTGAAGCCCATCAATTTATGTTTTGTAGAACAAAAATAGAGAAAGTAAAAATGTCATTAGTACTTCGTTAAAAAAAAAAAGAACAAAAATAACTTTAAAGTTAGAATGCTGTCCGCGGGCCGGATAAAACCTTCCAGCGGGCTACGGTTGGCCCGCGGGCTGTAGTTTGCCCATCCCTGTTTTAGTTAAATCTTTAAGGTTGGGTTTAATAATAGATGAATTTAATAAATAAATTTTATCTCTTTGGACACCCTTTTGTAGATTATAAAGGGTTCTTTGTAGATTATAAAGGGTATTTTGCAGATTATCTTAGATTATAAAGGGACACCTTTTATAATCTAATTAAGAATGTATTTTTACTTGGAGATAATGGTCCATAGATTTTATTATTTTATTAATTTTTCTTAGTTGTTGATGGTTTATTATGATGTTTATTTTTAGATGTCTGTAAAATCTGTCATACTGCATGATCATATCTATAATTTTTAACTTATGACGAACTTTCGTAATTTTGGAAATATTTTTTGTAGTAAAAGAAATGAATTTATATTTCATGAATTATAATTTAAAGAATTTTGACTATTTATTTTTAAGAAGATTATTATAATTTATTATATATTATAATTTAGAAAAGATTGCTATTTTTCTTAGCTATAAGTCTTAAAAATGTAGGTTTAAGCTCATTAGCACTGAAAATCATTTTTTCAGACGGCTCAAATGTTAAGAGAATATGTTATAGTCTTTTCATTTCCAGTGTTGCTCTGAAATTGTCACTCCCCTATTAACACGTTCTCGCAGGGGTGACCCACCGGTGGGTCACGCTAGATTGTCTCATCGGGCGGCTCACCGGATTAAAAACTGGCAAAAAATCCGGGAATAATAAAAATCCATAACTACCAATTGTTTTTAACGGATGCAATTTTTATATTGAATTGCTTCTTCGCCGTGATAAATTTCCTTACATTGAATTGTTATTGTTGAGAATAGATTAACTCCCCCCGAATATTATCTAATATTGAAATATTTCTTCTACCAGTATTTTCTCTTTTCCGTCCCGCTTTCAAGCGCAACACCCGGGTGAACGTGTTAATAATTAAACTATTATTTGTTTTTATTCAAGCATTGCAAGTTGCGTAACATAATGTAACATTCAAGTTGACATTTTTTATACATTTGAGATAGTATTTGCATATATATTTTTTTAAATATACTATTTTCGTTTATAAAAAATTCTTATTTTTACTTATCAGCTTCTGAAATTGCATAATGAAGTGTGAAAAATAATCTCATAAAAAAGTAGTAATACATTGACATTTAACATCATTAAATATTTCTTCTGATAGCTAACACTTTCGAAGAAAGATAAAGATAATTCTTAATAAAACAATTCTAATAAACAGTGATGAAAAGTATACCCAGAATTTAATAAAGTGGTAGAATATCATATCATTTCTCGAAATAGCTATGCATTCGTAACTGACCCTATACTTTAACAGCAATAATTTTATACATTAGATCGAGCATCGAAAATATTTACAGCATTTCTTTTCAATAATGTTTGTAAAATGTCAAATGAAAGAAGTTTGATTGTTTCTACCTTTTTGTGATTAGTTACTGCTTTCTTATACCACTTTTGACGCGCGTACAATCCCTGTGTAACATTGGTATTATGATGCATAAGTATCAAGCACATAAGTATAAGTATCCATCTCCATCGTATGATAAAAGGACGTTTTTGCGAATAATATGCTATTTTTATATCTGCTGTGAGTTTGCAACTGTTACTCATGACTAATAGGTCAAGTTTAGCCATTCAAAAACCAGCTTATGCTTATTTTAAAAAGCGTGTCTATGCTTATTTTAAAAATGTGTAAAACGTCAATACGGAAAAAATCCCCCACAGTTTGGTAAAAATAAAAAGCGTTTGAGGTCTAATTTTTTAATATTTAAAAACTTACTTGAATGCTGCATTACCTGAGCTCATAAAAAATTGCAAAAACTGAGAATACGGCAGTGATTTTGATAGTTTTCATCTAGGTGGGAAAATATCTCCGAATTGGTGGTTTTTAAAAAAGTTTAATGGCTTTTAAAATATTTAAGTTATTTTTCTGTTCTAAAACCCAGATAATTCTTCACGGCAAGATTAGTTTAAAACCATCGCATTGCTTCAAGTGTAAGGCACTTAAACTATGGTCTTTTTTATTTTCCTTGGAGACAGAGCTTCGAAAAGTAGCGTTTTAATCAAGGTAAATGATAAAAATGAACTTCTGTAACAACCACTATTTATGCTTAAGGCATGATTCTGTCAGACTTGTGTTCACATGATGGTGATAGATACCAATGAATTAACATTTAATGTTGTTTTAATACTATTTTATTTCTTCTTTTTTATGTTCTTACGAACTTAGCGTACAACATAAACAGATTACACGCATATGCAAGAACTATGCTTTAAGACTTGTTGAAATTTTTTATTAAAACGCATGAAAGTTTTAATATAAAAGTTGTTAAAAATACTCTCAATTATAATACATAAATCAATAAAATATTTATATAATAAAAATATAAAAGAATTTTAGTTAAGAGAATCATTAAAATGTTCAATGGTCATTTTGTATTGCAATAAAGTAATTCTAGTTTATGTATTTAATAGATTGAGTCACATTATCGTTCCCACCGTGACGTGGAATGGGGGATTCTGAATGATAAGTTATACATTTTCCAGGTAAGTTATTGTTTAAAAAAATTATTGTTAACTTTTTATTTTAGTCTGAATATACTAAGAAATAAAGGAAGTTTTCAAGCTTTGCGTACGTAAACGGTCATATATTTTTCAGTGAATTGCACTATAATTAAAATTTAAAAAAAAACAATCGATGCATTTATAAGAATTGGTAGCATACATTTTTTGCAAACCCATTCATCTCCTGCAATTGGGAGTGTTGGGGTTTAATCCTCAATCAATCTTAACCAGTTAAGTTGGGGTGAGAATCAGAACGAATCTCGAGGGAGGTGTTAGAGATATATCCCTTATCGCCCCTTATTTGCCAAATGTTTAACATCGAACTAGAGCCCCAGAGATGCCAACTGCTCCGGACACTCCAAAACAATAAATAAAAAAAAAAACGGTAAATAANTTATGCTTAAGGCATGATTCTGTCAGACTTGTGTTCACATGATGGTGATAGATACCAATGAATTAACATTTAATGTTGTTTTAATACTATTTTATTTCTTCTTTTTTATGTTCTTACGAACTTAGCGTACAACATAAACAGATTACACGCATATGCAAGAACTATGCTTTAAGACTTGTTGAAATTTTTTATTAAAACGCATGAAAGTTTTAATATAAAAGTTGCTAAAAATACTCTCTATTATAATATATAAATCAATAAAATATTTATATAATTAAAGCATAAAAGAATTTTAGTTAAGAGAATCATTAAAATGTTTAATGGTCATTTTGTATTGCAATAAAGTAATTCAAGTTTATGTATTTCATAGATTGAATCACATTATCGTTCCCACCGTGATGTGGAATGGGGGATCCTGAATGATAAGTTATACATTTTTCAGGTAAGTTATTGTTAAAAAAAATTATTGTTAACTTTTTATTTTAGTCTGAATATACTAAGAAATAAAGAAAGTTTTCAAGCTTTTCGTACGTAAACGGTCATATATTTTTCAGTGATTTTATAAAATAAAAAAAAATGTAATAAAAGCAAAAATTGCACTATAATTAAAATTTAAAAAAAACATTCGATGCATTTATAAGTATTGGTAGCATACATTTTTTGCAAACCCATTCATCTCCTACAATTGGGAGTGTTGGGGTTTAATCCTCAATCAACCTTAACCAGTTAAGTTGGGATGAGAATCAGGACGAATCTCGAGGGAAGTGTTAGAGAAGTATTCCTTATCGCCCCTTACTTGCCAAATGTTTAACATCGAACCTATGCCGTGGAAATGCCTTTCTGAGTGGACTGCAGTGGTGGTGGATTGCACTAATGGTTTTCTAAAATCTTGTGGATTGCGTTGCTAACATCTTATCCCCCTTGTGAGCGGTTGTTGTACTGCGCTCAAAAACAGCCCGTGTGGTTATCCCTCCTACTTCAATTCTGCAATAAGACATTTTCTGATAAAATCGTGGTCTAGCCAATAATGTTCGTTGAATCAAGTGTGCAGGTGTACGTTAATTAGTGTTCTTCCATTTTTTTTGTCAATTTCTATTTAATAGTAATTTTTGTATATGTTGCAATTTTTTAGCTTCTGTAATTTTAAAATACAAACTGTATTTTCTAAAAATCAATAGTTGTTGTTGTTCTTGAGTTGTAGGGTGAGAAGAGGCCTTCAAAGTCGTGAAAATTGGCCGCAATTTTCATTTTTCGATATTTTGATTACTTGATATTCAATTTTTTCACGAATATTGGTTAAAAAATTGAAGAAAAAAATATATTCAATGCCACCTTATTGCCTTACATTGGTTAAAAAATAAAAGATCTGGGTGTAATTCTTGCTGCTCTATGTATACTACAGAAAAACAAAATTTTTATAAAATAGGATAAATAAGTAGTTGGAAAACTAAAACTTTTCAAGCTCAACTTGCTGATGATTCTCGAACATTGGAAGACAATTTGTCTACTTGATATCTATTGAAAAGAAAATTAGTTTTGATCAGAAGAATATAATGAAGAAGAAAAATGTCATTCTGGATTGAGCAAGTTTTGATACACACTAACTGCAAGTTTAAAAGTTTTAATAGCACTGCATTTTAATTAGAAAATTATTTTAATTATTTTAAATTACTTTAATTGTATTTAATGGAAAATTTAATTTAAAAGTTTCATGCCACTCGCATTCACGTTTAGTCTATTTTGAAGCGTAATAATTGCCATGCATATCGCAATAATTCTTTGTTGTTGTTGTTGATTTCTTTGTTGTTGTTGTTGTTATTATTAATCGAAAACCTCCGACTTTTCATTGGTTTTCATTTTTAAGTTAATAAATGAGACTACATCAACTCAATTCTTAAAAGTTAGAAAGTTACACTCAATATTGTAAGTTTTACATTTAAGAGCAGAACTATAGAAGAATTGTTGTTTTGTAAAATTTTTAGAAACTATTTTAACTACAAAACACAGAGTACTACATTCATGGAAAATAATGTGATTTAACGAGTCCTAATAAAAAAATTTATTCACAGTAAACTAAAGTTGAAAAAAAAACACAGCATTCACAAATGGATAAGTTCACCCATTTTTTCATTTAAAATTTATAGCACGGCACACTTGTAAAATTCAATTACTCATGATAATAATAAAAATGTAATGATGAATGCAATACTATCAGTAAATGCAATATATTCCAGTTGTAAATCTAATCCTGACTGCAGCATCTCAGATTTAATATCGCCATAACTTATTTCGATCTCGTCATAGTATATTAATATATTTCTATACATAATTCTTGGCCGGGTAGAAGCTCTATGCCAAGATAGCGCTTGATTTTAATAAATTGCACCCCTCGCATGTCAAATATGTTTAATAAAAATTCTGCGTGTAAGGGTTAAGCAATAATATCTTTCCATTATATGTCAATAATTGAAGCGGTCCATGTTAAAAGGGGGCATGTAACATATTTACGAAAATAAGATTTTTGCTAGTTTTTGAACATCAATCATCAATGCAGAATAATTTTCTAGATTGCCTAAAGAGGATGCAGCAATTTGGAAGCAATTAAAACCATTTTTCCACAATTGACTCAGTTTTCTTGGTTTTTCTCGAAAGTGCAAATTTTTAACATACCCACCCTTTACATTGACCTCTTCACTTACATACATATCAAATTAATGCCACGAATGCGCTTTCAAATCACTGCTAACCAATAGATCTTATGCGTATACGTTTGAATTACTGTTTTATTTTGTATGGTAAAATAAGTTTCAATTTTAAAAAACACTATTTTATTGTGTTATAGCATAAATATTACTTAAAAAAATTCTTTTCAACAATTGATTTTATACATTAATTTATCCATCTCAATACAATTTTTTTTTAATTAGTCTAGGCCAGTGACTAGCAGTACCAAGAAAAGTATCCATGAGATTGAACATGAATTTGATTCTCCAATGAGAGTAGAAAATGATTTCTTTTCTGTTTCAAATCTTGCGTATGTTTCACATTTATCTTTGTTATTGATTTTCGCTACTTAACTGTTTGCAACCTACAACGATTTTAAATCTTTAATTACTAAAATAAATATTATTGAGCATGTTAGGGTTAACTCTTCGGGGGGACTCTTCTCTAAAGGGAAGAGGTCAACTCTTCGGGACGGGTGTGTCATGAAGGCTTTTCTATACAATCAAAATCAGGATAGAAGAAAATAAAAGAAGGCAACTCGGTTAATTTGAAAGTGTTCGCTTTAATTTTCACGTACCTAATCAATGTTTGCTCAAAGTGTAACTATATAAATTTTATCTTGAATCTCTTCGTGAAGGACGAGTTATAATGCATTCATACAAAATCTATAGTGTAATATCAATTCATGCAGAATCAATTGTAGGGAATTTAATAAATCTAACTATTATAACCCCGCTTATAAATAAACTGTTAAAGAAATAGTTTAACAGTCAAATTTATCTTTTTTTTACCTAGATTTAGAACGTTTCATGCTGGCACATACAAGTGACAGTCAACTCGAAGGGGTTAAATGCTGAGAATAAAAGGATTATAATAATAATTTGAAATTTAGTAAATGCATTATTAAAGGGTTTGTAAGAACAAAAAAAATATTTTTAACTATGTTCCAGTTTTATAAAATGCAGCATGAAGTACTGGTGATTTTCTCTGCGTTAAAAGTAAAATCTTCCTAACACGGCTCACTTACAAACATTAATTTTTTAAATTTGCAGTTTTTGAGAAACAGTAATTCGTCATGGAAATTTCTTTAATTTACAAAATCAATTCTTAATAAATTTTTGAATATGAATGAAAAAATATTTAAAACTACTTGTTTTTAAATTTTAGATTTTAGCGTAAGTATAATTCCGATAATCTAACGGGGCTTTTTTAGTAACTATTAGACAGGTTTTAATTATTAAAAAACATCAAAATATATTTTAATTTGCAGTTTGAATGTCAGAAAAAGTACATAAAAGTGACATTGGTGTCCCATTTGCATTAAAGGATTAAAAAGAATAGAAAAAAGATTCGTGTAAAGTTATTTCAATATAATTAAAAAGAACTAATATTGATTTTTTGATATTAAAAATTTGATTTGATTGCTTAATTGTTCAAAAATTTATTTAAAAAATGAATAAAATATGTGATTATTTGTTACAGAGAGGTTATGCCAAAAGCCTTGTCACCTTTAGGACTAGATGCATCGTTTAAAAGTTTTTACATCGCAACTAAAGTGAGTTATAGAACAATGTCAACTTCAACTAGAACAAACCAATCGGTCTTAAATTTACTGACAAAGTTTCATTCTTATTTTCAGGCTAAAAAAGACGAAACTGTTTTTTCTGTTAAAGGAAAAAACCAATATTTTCCGAAAGTCTGGTTCTTTTTTTACAATCACTTCGTCTTCAATTTTGCTGAGGTAAGTATATTGATTAATATTCCTTGTAGAGATTTATCGAAGGCTTCTAAACTTTTAATTGCGATAATAAGAGCGATATTGGAACTTAAAGAAAAACACTGAATCATTTTTAATAACGCATTGTTAAGTTTTTCTTGGTTACATCTCTCTCAATTTATTACAGATTCATTTATACATATACATTCCAGCATATATATTTTAATTTGAAATCATTTACAACTGTCAATTTTAATGAAGTGCAGTGAAAGCTAAAGTTATTATTCTACGTAATTAATCATAGGCTGTCGAACTTTTTTAGACCCCTCCGCCCTATTTTATAAGCCCCCCTATTTTTCAATGCCACCTGAAGAAAAAAAAATTAGCATATTTTTTAAGATTGTTTTTAGATTTTCGAATTGATACACTTTTATCATACTATTAATTTATTGAAAACTTTTACCTACCAACAGAGTTGACATGATTTAAATCACTTGATTTAAATCATGATTAAAATCACAATTTTATTTATTTGAGCTTTTTGTTTACGAAAATAATTGATTTAAACAAATTAACATTTTTTAAAATAAATTATTAAGTCAAAAATAGTTTTTAAAATATATTCTTCAGGATGTGATTTTTTTGTTGTCCGATTTCATTGATAATGAATATTTTATCCAAAGAAATAATGAAAGGGTAAATTATTATATGTCGAAACAGTCTAAAATATTATCGAAAAAAAGAGAAACTCCATTTAGTTTTATGTTTGTTCGTCTACTTTAAGTACTTTTAAAACATATTAAGCGCATTAAAGTATAGTTAGTGTGTACCAATATTGAAGAAAGACTTGTGCTGCAAAGAGAAATTTGCGATAATTCTTTTTATTTTTTGTATTCTGATCGAAATAAATTTCTTCTTCATTGGATATCTTAACTGATAAATTACCTCACTGTCTTTAAAATTTCAGGATATTTTACATGAGCAAAGATAATCCTGATTTTATTTATTCAGCGGATAGTTTTAATATTTAAATAATAGTTTTTTAAATATTTTAGTTAGAAATATCAACTATTTCAGTTATATTATTGTTTTTAAATAAGATTAAGTATTGGTAATATATTTCATCGAATGATTTGAATGGTAAACTTGAAAACAAAATCTGACTTAAACAAAAATAAATCCTATTTTTGGAAGAAAAAAAATCACAATTTTAGGAAATCGTGCTATCCAATGAATTAATTAAAAAAAATGGTTTTGTTTTTATGAAAATAGACAATATGTAAAATTTGTAAGTGTTTCCATAAAAAAAATCCAATGTATCTCATTTCAATTTAAATTCAGTAATCAAATAATAATTATTATTTTAAAAATAGTAAACTCCAATAAGCATAAAAATTTTACAAATCCGTGCCAATATATGCCTATACATGTTTTAAATAAGGTAAAGCTGGAAGAGACTGCACTCTAGTAACATTATGAAGAAGGAGTACAATATACATGTTGCGATTATACAGAGGGTACTTGATTGAGCAAACTGATTATTTATTGATTAGGCAAAACTATAAGATATTGCGCATTAGGAAGATTCTGAAGAAAAAGAGTACATTATTTGAGATGCGATTATGCAGTAGGTGCTTTATTGGGCAAACTGATTATTTATTGATTAGGCAAAACTATAAAATATTGCGCATTAGGAAGATTTTGAAGAAAAAGAGTACATTATATGAGTTGCGATTAGGCAGTGGGTACTTGATTGAGCAAACTAATTGTTACGAGTATCAAGATTAAGCAAGATTTTTTATTTTGTTTTCTTAAATGAAGTGTCATTCCTTCGCCTGATTTTCTAAAGGATGACATTATTATAAAATATTTTAAAATTAAGCACTTTCTCATAAATTACAGAATTTGGCTAAAAGTGTGGCTACCAATGATTCTTTCTAAAAGTTGCCATGTTAAAAAAAGGTCGTGCAATCACTTCTACCTAAATGGGAGTATTTGCGAGTAAGCTACTTAAAAATGAAGCATTGTTCTTATGCTAAGAGGAATCACAATCCTCATAGGGGATACATCGTTCCCCTCCTAATAAAGTGGCTCAGGTTCAAGTCCCAACGATGGCTGGTGTATACGAATTCTGCCCCCTGCTCGCACCGATCACTATGGATCATAAGTCAGAAAACCCTTAAAGCTGGGTTAACCGTGCGAGATTTTCGAATTTTTCCTCTCCATATAGCGCAAATGTTGGTTGGTTCCATCAAAATGTCCTCCAAGAAGGCAGGTTTGTTTCATTGCTTGATACAGGATTTTCCTTGTCTTCTGGGTTGGGTTCAAAATTAACAAGGATACGTATATGAACATTGAGAGTCGTAAACTTAGAGTTGGACACTCAACGCTGATTATAAAATAAAGTTAAAAGTGCTCACAGGAGCCTTTTTGCTGCTGAAAGCTCTTTCTCAAACGAAGAGATACAAGGGTACTGTAAAAGAAGATCCTGAAATGTAAGGGAACTATTCAAAGGCCCACAAGCCATATAAAAAAAGATTTTTTTCTTCTGATTCTTTAAATTTTTTGCTATAATTGAAATTCATCCGTGTTTCTAGTTCTTAAATCATTAGCTTGAAATATTCATTATTAATATTAATATAATTGACTACAAAAATTTTGTTTCAGAACAATAATTATTGTTTACCATTTAATTGTAGTTATTATTATTATTAGTCATCCCATCTACCCATGAGCGCAAACTCTTCTACACCATAGAGTAGTGACGAGTAGTCATAGCATCTGGTCAAAGGGTCAAACACTTTTCCCATATCATAATTTGTAATTCGTTTCATAATTCGTATCGTAATTAAACAATTGAACAGTTCTAAACCTAATGAACAAGTATTTGAAATCTCTGACACAACAATGTACTGTTCTCTATTCTGACTGAACAAATTAGAAACGAAAACTAATTTGAACAAATTAAACGTTTCATAATTCGTATAGTAATTATACAATGGAAGAGTTCTAAACCAAATGAACAAGTATTCAAAGACTCTGACACAACCATGTATTGTTCTCTATTCTAACAAATTAAAAACAAAGCTAATTTAGATTTCAAAAACACTAAAAAAATATCTCCTCAAATTTTCTAATGTGAAATTAAACGATCTTTATATTTTGACTTAACAATTGAAAAACTCATTCAGTGAAACGGCATCTTCAAGAGCTCACAAACCTTAGATGCCGAAAAGTAAAGCAACAACAAGGAAGCTGTTTCTCAAAGCATCATTGGTTGCAATGTTGGCAGCTTCAAAACACATTTCGCCACCACAAAACACGTCCGAGAAAATCACTACGTATAATGTCATAAACATCTATTTGATTGATTCTGTTAAACATAGTATTTCTTGATTATCTATTTTGACAGCTATTTCCGATGCGGCCAGATGAAAAACTGGATGTAACGAAAAAGGCTACGATCATATCTATGTTTGGTAGAATACCTGACAATGAGGAAATGTTTGAAGTAGCCAAAGCTCGTTCTGATTCTCAACCAAAAAAGAGCTCTCTCTTCATGATGTATACCATGTTGAAGGTATGTATGAATCATTGTATTGAGTCAGATAAGATAATAATTTAGTTTCAGTAATTTTTTATTTATTTATTTATTCAATGCTACACATTCCTGTGCAGGCTGTTATGCTCATTTCAAATGTGGCTTATAAGCCCTTCTCAAGTAAAACATGTTTTGTTTAATCTAAAAACGTAAAGCCACGGAGAAGAGCAACAATAATGAATTACTTTAACTTATTTAATAGTGTCCGTTTGCGTCCATAGTTTGAGCATGATTTCACAATGTTAATCCTCAGTGTTGTTTAATCCAGTTATGTTAATCCCCAGTGTTATTATGAGTCGCTCAGAAGTCAATGTGGTTAAGTCCAAAACACAAAAATTGAGAAAATTAATGTTTTTTGATACATTAGTTTTTAAAATTCTTGGTTTATTAATTTAATTAGAAAAGTGTATAAAGTCTTTTTTCGAGGTGTAAACTCTGCAAAAAAACAAGGTATGTACAGGATGTGTAAATAAAAACGTAAGTATTTGTTGAAATAATGACAGCATCTTAAAAATTTTAGGACTTATACCTTTTGGCAGCTGAAAAAGATAAGAAATTTATGTAAAAATAATAAAATAACATTTATTGTCATAAGTTTTATGTTTTGGTGAAAAACTACTATCGTAGTATTAAAAATACTACGTCTTGCAACCCTGTGTTACTATGAATTTCTTGTTGTTCAGTGTTACCAACAAATATCGAAAGAAGAAGAAGAATTTAATTTTTATTTCAAAGTTTATTTAAAAAAATATTGATAAAAAATGGACTTAACCGCATTGGCTTCTGAGCTTCTCATTTACTTTCCTTTTCATGCCGTACTAAGAACTGGTAAAAATTCAGAAGGTTAATATTTTTTGAAAATAAAGACCATTGTGCATATTCCGAACATGAGCTAAATTCCAAGTTTTGTTAGTTGCATAAATTATAGGAAGGACAGCATGGTGATACATCCAGAGTTACAGTGGTATTCGAGCCCCCTATCCCTACATCAAAAAGCGTTATACTTCGCGCCAAGGTGGCCTTCCCTGTAAATGAATTTAAACTGTGACCGTAAAAGAGTAATTAGTTTGCAACAGTGTTTAACAAAAGAATAATTAATATTTGTTTGAAATAGTAATTAACAAAATTTCTGCTAAAACCATGTTCGAAATTGACGTCAGTTGCAAATAACTTATTATACAAAATACTTTCAAGGATTGTATTCTGTACAGGAACCAGTATTCCGTCATTCAATATTAATTTTAAATCTCGGAAAACTGATGATTTAAAAATAATTTCTTAAAACAAAACTATTTAATTATAAAAATTTTATTGCGGCCATGACACAAAAGAAGCTAATAAAAATCAGAATTTACTAATTTCTTTGTTTTGTTTGAAATCCAGAATAATTATTTTTCCTCTCTGAAATAAAAAAAATTGTTTGACTGAACGCTAAAGGTTTTTATGTATATAATCCATGTATAAAGGTTATTATAATATAAATGCTTTTTTATATAGATAATCATACAAGGCAACGTTACTTTTAAACAGTAACGAGTAAAAAATTTTGACTTTGGATTGTGACAAGTAGAAAGTACAGGTACAGAACTATAAAGTAACAATTTTGAAGTATATTTCGAGAAATAAAAAATTCAACTTAAACTTAAATTTCATTAAAATATGTGTGAACAAAATATAAAATTTTAAATTAAAAAATGTATTGAATATTAATTTAAATGTCGAATCATTAAACTGCTTGAAAACGTTATATAATCCACTAAAATAGTAAATACTGAAAAAAGCCAGAAACGTAAAAAGAAATCAAAATTTAATGTTTGTGTATAAAAAAGGAATTTTAGTTTATATGAATTTTATTTAGAAAATCTAAATCTTTAAAAATTTTACTAATTGCCAACAAGTAAAAAATTGACTTGGACAAATTCCACAAACATTATAACTTTTGCTTAAAAAAATAAGTGAATAAATAAAAAAAATGTAATACTCTGCTTGAAACTCCTTGAAATTCATCAAAATAAAAATTATATTTCGTTTTTAAAAGTTTAAAAATTTCGATTTTAAGATTTAAAATTATGACATTTTTTCAATTTTGATGTAGATATGACATATATAATATATTCATTATTAAAAATTGAGCACAAAAGCCATGATGATAGGTATAACAGTCGATGCAAATTCTTAAGACTAATAGTACCTTATGATAGACTAATAGTTCCAAACGATGTCTTTCGACATTTTCGTTACAAACACTTGTACTTTTTCCTTACAAAAGTAACGTAAAAGTGAAAAAGTAAACAGTAACGAAGTACAAAAGTAAAAGTACGTGCTTTTAACTTACAAATAACGAAATTACAAATAACGAAAGTAAAAGTATTTCCATGTATGTATTTAATTCTTAATTTTTTTTAATAGGCTCTGATATTTTGTGGCAAAACATTAGAGAAAACCAAAAAATCAAGTTATGGATACAGAATACCAGTAGAGAAATACCGCAACTCATATGATCTTTTCCGAGCTTTATGCAGGGCCTGCACAGATCTAACTGATGTAAGAATAATGTAGTAATAATGAGTGATAATATGTAGATATATTTTGATTTATAATTCGTTTAAACCTCGCAGAGTTCGTTCAATTTTAAGCCAACACTACTTTTAAGCCACCTACTGAAAAAATCAATCAGAATAGATTAGAATAGGTAAAAATCAATTGAAGCAGATAAAAATTGGCAGAAGAAAAATTTCATATTACCTTCTTTTAGGAAAAATTATCTTTTCTTCACTAGTGCTATTTATTAACAGTTATGCCTCACATTTGATTTACCGTGATTTTATTTACCTCAGCATGTAAAATCAAACATCTATAGAAAATTACCTTATATGCATCATAAGATGATTATAGGTGCTCGGGAAATTTTGAAAATGTTTAATTATTTAATTACTATTATATTACCATCGCAAATATGCTGGCCACAAAGAACTACCAGCTGGCAGGCATGATTATTTCGTACTTTGCATAAATAATACGCAGAACTGTCTAACTTGAGTACAATTCCTTCACAACTCTTTTATAATTAAGTTTGCAAAATAAAAAGTAAGTTTGGGAATAAAAATTATGTTTGCAAAAAGTTAAGATTTTTCTCGAATAAGATGATAGAGTTTTGCAACACGGAGGGCAATATAATTTCAAATAAAAATTTAAAGCAAAAAATACTCTACACCAATAACGGATTAAATATATTCATTAGTAAAAGTCTACTCTTAGAATTATTTATTATAAATTTTATCAGTTTATTTATTTTTGTTAAAGTAATATTAAAATTGCTTGTCCGGGATTTTTTTGCGGCACACTGTACCGCAATAAATTCTTACATGACTAACTTAACTAACTTAAACGTGTAACATTAAAATAAAATTTACCGAATAAATACTTAACTGAAAATTATTACTATTAATACTTAATTAGTTTTTCATTTTATAATATAAACTGTTTTTATTAATTTTAGGTTTCAATATGTCATGTGATTTGCAGCCAGACATCGTCACTGCTGAATATGATAGTTTTTTCTTCTCTAGGAGCAGCTAGAGGAAGTAGGTCATTATATATATATATATATATAATGACCTACTTCCTCTAGCTGCTCCTAGAGAAGAAAAANTATATACAAATTTCAAAATTACTGAGGAAACATGGAAAAAAATATAATAAAGATTTATGAAAATGGAAGAAAAATTACTAAAATAAAATATTTTTAAATATTTAAAAAATCCTTTTTATTTAAAATTAAAAGGCCGGAAAACAAAAATAATGAAAAGATGTAATCTCTCATCAGCTCACACGATAATATCTGCCAAAAAGGACGTAGCCATTTTGCTCAGGAAAAGAACCAGCTCCAGATTTGAATCCCGTTGAAACGTGTGAGATGCTTTGGGGAAGAGTGTTGCTGGTCGAGATAGCACTGCAATAAACAAGGGCACTTTCATCCGTGCACTGACAGAGGAATAGGACAAATTGCCCCTATAGCTGCTGAATACTCTTTTGCAAAGCACATTTTAAAACTAGTATCAGCCTCCATAGTGACCATACCCTATAGACACCTAACTCCATGATGTCTGCAAATGATATTTGCATTTTTTCTTCCTTTCACGTTTTCAGTACAAAATGACTATTTTGTTCTTTGAAGACTTTTTAAACCTTCTAGGTTTCAGAGCCCAATAAATTATCTTCTTCTTATATTCTAACATTCTCTCATTCTTTTATTTCATTTGGCATTACCACGCTTAATTTCTCATGCGCTATGCAGCATTTGCGGCCAACCTTAGAAATTGTCCAGCAGCTCATAATAGTATTCGATAGTAAGTGAAATTATTGGATAAAAGTTACCCATTAACCCGTTTAGTCATTAAAATAACCCATATAAGGAGATACTTTGGTGATATGTGAGGAGATAGTGTGATTTCATTGAAATGAAAGACCAAACAAAGGTCACTTTAACATGCATTTTAAACTTTTTTTAAAATGGCTAATGTTTAACAAATAAAACCAAATACTAAACAGCAGGGAATAATTATAACCGATATGCTATATGTATACATAAGTTAGCAAATGTTTACATGGCTATAGCTAATGGTAGTACAGGCAATGAATTAAGAGTTTGATCAAATATAATTTAAGGAATTACTTTTTATACCGTTTCATAAAAATAATTTAAACATATTTATAAAACACCAGGTGGACAAATAGCTACGCATTTAAATTCTGGTGTAAAGTATAAAAAAGCTCTGCTTGTATTTAAAATTCCCGTCTCAGTTCACTAGCGCTGGAAAAAATTAATTTATAAGAATCTCAAATAATTGAAATATATATACAGGGTGTCTCAGTTAAGCGTTTCAGATCTCCTAAGAGGGGTAGGGTGCATCCTGACGACTCGATATCATATAGCAATGCGGGGTCGGAAATGCTTTCCTGAAGCTGTGATGTACACAGAAGCACCATAAAGAAAAGAGACCCGTAAGTGAAAAATCGTTATATGGCCTCCTCGGTCACCCGACCTATCATGTTTTGATTTTTATTTCTGGATATCACCATATGAAAACACTGGTTTATGACACCCCTGTTGACAACGCTGAGGAGCTGGTTGCAAGAATCGCAGTAACTGCCGGAGATGTGAGGTGTACATTGTAGCCGGCGGCGGGAACTTCGAACAATTACTTTATCCCATGTACCATATCATTTTTTCAATGTTTTATTAAAACGATTTTTCACTTACGGTCTCTTTTCTTTATGGTGCTTCTGTGTACATCACCGCTTCAGGAAAGCATTTCCGACCCCGCATTGCTGTATGATTTCGTGTCGTCAGGATGCACCCTACCCCTCTTAGGAATTCTGAAACGCTTAACTGAGACACCCTGTATATCTTATCGCTGTGTACAGGTGGTACAGCAAATGAAACTATAGACTGCTTATGAGACATTGGTACGGTATAATTATAAAGTTACCGAATTTCGTCATTCTTTCATGATAAAACTTTCATTGCTTTCAGAATTCGATGACATTGTATATAAAGATTTTGCAAAACTTTTGAAAACAAATAGCGAAGTTGAGAGTGCTGACATTCCATCTGCCACGCAAGTATGAAGATGTTTTTATTCTTTGTGTTTCTTTACTTTAACTCGTTTTGTCCCGAATTTATATATTGAAATGATACAAAAAGTGGTTTTATAGAAAAAGTGGTAAAATATATTATCGAAATTAATTGGTTTTACTACTGTTAGAGCATTCAAAAAGTCTTTGATAGATCAAAAAGTACTTGCTCTTTATAATTCTAGATCTAATCAGAAATAACTAAATCACCATGGTATCTGAGAATCTTTTAATTCACTCACATAAATGAAAATACTGAAAAAAAAGTTTCCCATCACAATGAATGTCTTTGAAAAAAGGAACTGTCCTAAATATATGACGCTGGGCGTTAACCAGTTAAGTAAATTGTATGTTAGTGTGAATTTATCGGGTGACTCAGAAAAGCATTCGTACAAAATCAGAATCAAGTTGTAATTAAATAAAAAACGGTAACTTAAATGTAGTCGTTGCTAATTTGACAGACTTACTTTGCTTTTACTTTAATTATTGTTAGTTTAATCATATATATAATCAATGTTAATTCAAAGTAGGACTAAATAGTTTTATTTCGATCAAAGTAATGGCGAATTAAATAAATCAAGCAATTATAAACCCCGCTCGCAAATACTTTGTGAAAGTCGGCGTATACTTTGATTACCAGTTTTATCTTCATACCCTGATTGATACGATTTCATTCTGGCACGTATTTGTGAAAGTCGGCGCGAAAGGGTTAAGAGAATCATGTTCATATATCGATTGTATAATATCATATTCCCTATTGCTAACTGTGTTGATTAAAAATATTTTTTACCACTTGAAGTTCGCAAAACTCTAATGAATCATATGGAAATGAAAAGTGGTTATAAAAAAACATTGGAAACACTTCTATACTGACTCTATGTAACTCCAGCAAATGTTTTATACAATTTTGCATGGCACAACTGCTGGCACAATTTTAACGATCATACCTATAGCTTTTAGAAATAGTAGCATTCTTATCCGCGCGAAAATACATTTCATTCCTATATAATGATTTCAAAATTTTGCTGAAAAGAAACTTTTAACTTCCTATTCTCATTTAGGTCGATGTACATTCTGCATAGATAAAAATGACACAATTTCTAAAAGATTCAAGCAGGATCTTTTAAATTATGTGAACTGTTTTGCCATGTAAAAACTTCCAAAATATTTGCTCCATAAAAATTTTTTTTCACCTAAAGTTAATATTGAAGTGTTTCCATATGTTTGCACAACCCCAGTATTAACCTTTCGCTACCGAGGTTCTTTTAACGGTTAAAACTGGATTTAACCACTTAAAGTTTCCAAGATTAAACGAAAAACGTTTGCAACCTGGAAAAGATAAAAAGCTGTTCTTAAAACAATTTCATGTCTATCTCGTTGCAGGTAGGAATAATAGACTACCAAGACATATTATCAGTTACAATAAGCATTTACATACCTGCAAACTTGTACAGTCGTTGAAAAAGATTTTACAAAGTGGTAGTAAAACAATAATTAAGTTTGGAAGAATTTTCTAAAATCAAAACTTTTAAGACATCTATAAGCATAATTATCTCCCAATCAGATCTCATTTATATATTTTTATAAAATTAGTCATTCATCGTGGTAGTTTAATATTTTTTTTAACCTCCAATTTCAAGATTTTATACGCCAAATAGCTAATGCTGTTACCAGTAGGTTGGCAGCTATTTATTATTAATTCCTGATTGTGAAAACAATTGCTATTCAGACTTTGGTAGTCAAGAATATTTTAATCTCTTTGAAAACAAGCAAGGGGGAAATGGTTTTACTATCAGGATTTTTCTCTTTTCCAGAGTACAAAAAACGCTGCTTAAAATGTGTGTGTGACGTCTGTGACGTGTGTGTGTTTTGTCTCTGGGTCATCCTCAGGTATTTTTCTCAGACCGTTTCCAATAGTCCATTGTGCAGCTCTAGTGTGACGTAAATAAAAAGTATTAAGTACATATGAAATATGCTAATTAATAAGGGAAGGCTATATTTTAAATTCCGAAATTAGACTCAAAATCGTAATAAACGTACCTTTTTTATGGCGGATTTTAATTTCGTATTGTTGGTCATAGATGACGCCACTGAAAAAACAAGAAACGCACCCTCTGTCTTAAAAATTCGATTTATTTCAAGCAGGCTTGCTGGTATTGACAAGTGACATAAGTATCAGCACAACACTTAAACTTATATGAAAATGCCACTTCCACCCTTTTATCTCATGGTGATTCTGTAAATGTGCTGGTAAAATTGAGCGAAATAAAACGTGCTTTAATCTTAATTTCTCTACCACTTTTATAAAGTTTTTTATTGAAAGCGTAGTATTTGCAGATTCTATCTTATGAAACTTTTTACCCTGTGGTAGTTAACTTATATAAATAGATAGAATTTTGGAAAAATTTCATTCTAACCTAAGAACATGATCATCGACGCTTCGATTCGAAAAATTTAAACTACCACGACGAATCAATAATTAAAAAAAATATGCAGATAAAATCTATTTATTTGCTAATTATGTTTATAGATGTCTTAATACTTCTGCTTTTAGAAAATTGTTCCAAACTTGATTGTTGCTTTACTACCAATTTATAAAAAACGTTTCAATTGCAGTACAAGTTGGCAGGTATGCCAGTGGTACTGATGAATTAAAGAGCGAACAGATAACATGATAAGTATATGCATATTGGGTTACCTGACGGTTGTTGTGAACTAAAAGATAATTTTTTATAATAGCTTGACTTTTTTGATATTTATTTTATTACTTAATCCGTATTTAATGCTTTTCAGCCAACGTTCTTTTAAAACACAGTTCCTTTTTTCAAAAAAGAAAAAGTGGTATCACAAGTGTTTCATTATTAGGATTTGTTTTGCGGAAGAAATATAGTTTTATGTGAACTATAATATAATTATTTATATTTGGTAAAATGTAACTTCGTATTTTTTTCATAAGCACATTTTTAAGTTAAAGTGGTAGTAAACAAGTACGTACTACCCCTTTTTTATGCTAAGCAAATATGTACTCTGCAAAAGATTTGTTAGTAAATAAATATATACTCTCTAAATAACATATTAATTATTCTCATTATTTTATTATTTTGATTGTGTTTTTTCTTTGCAGAGAATTGCTTATCTCATAGCACAGGAAATTGACCCCGAAGAGTTTAAAAATATGTCAAAAAAGGTAAAATATATGTATTAAAAATGTCAATTTTTATGTAATTTACATCATTTCTGATTTAGACCGGTATTTGTTCTTTCAATGTATACTGCACCTAATAAAAAATAAATTTAGATCTAATGATGGGATCTTCACGTTCTAGGTCTTTCGAATAGTTTCTAGATCGAATTGTTCCTAAGAAATCGAATTTTAAATATATGACTTCTTAAATATTCGTCCGATTTCGCTCATTTTTTTACATGTAAAATTACATCCTTTAAAATGGTGGAAAAAATTTTATACCTTATAATTAAATTTTTTCGAATATTATAAAACAAAATAATAAAAAACAATAACTATTTACTAAAACTAATACTTTGCATAAAATTATCTTTGTATAAGCGAATTTTATAATTGTATCTAAAGATATGGCGACATTCTTGATATATGGCGAAATATGCAAGAAATTAACATCAAAGGGACCAAACTTCGAACTGTTCTTCTGACCAACCTTTGGATACCATATTTTCCAGATTACAGCTACCCCCCATATTTTTGGGGGTCAGAAATACGAATCAGTCGAAAAAAAAGGTATGTTTATTAAGAGAAAGTACGTTTTGGTGTCTGATTTCGTAACTTAAAATATCGTCTGCACTAATAAATTAGCTTATTTGCAGTTACCCTCTCAAACTTATGAGATTAAGTCCTAGAACTTAAAAGTCCGATCATTAAATCAAATGTTATTGTGGGTGGTCTGTTTTTTTTATTTTGCGCAGTACGCCAATAAAAAAAAAACGGACAACTCTGAATAACTTTTGATCTAATGATTGGATTTTTGCGTTCTAGAACTCAATTTTCATGGTTCAAGGGGGTGTCCTCAAATATACTAATTAGTTATAGTAGACAGTATTTTAAGTTACGGAATCAGTAACAAAAACGTAATTTCTCTGAATAAACATGCGTTTTTCTCAATTAATTCGGATTTCTGACCCCCAAAATATAGGGGGCAGCCCGAATCTGGGAAATATCGATCCCACAGTTTGGTCAAGAGACCGATCCAAAATGTGAACCTCTTAATGCTAATTTTACTTTTTGCGTATTTTGTCGCATCTCGAGAACTTTTTAAGTGAATTGAAACTTTTTTGCTCTTAATTATCTATTCAAGGATAAATTCCAAGCAAAGATAAATTTTAGTAAATATTTTTTTTATTTTCAATTATTATTTTTAATACTATTCGAAAAAAATTTGAATTGAATTGTAAGGTTTTTATATTGTAAGGTAGCCGATTTTTTACATCATTTTTAAGCATGTAGTTTCGTATGGGAAAATGCACAATTTGAGGAAAATAGTGGAATCAATTCTAATTTTAAATATACGACTATTTTAAAATTTGACTTTTCAGGAACTATTCGACCGATTTCCCTCAAGTTTTGTATTTTGTCATTAAATTGTTTACTTTAAAATGATGTTAAAAATTAACTCCTTTAAGTCAAAAATTTTACGAATTTTATTAAATAAAATTAAAAAGAATAGTATATATTTACAAAAATTTATTTTTTTGCGTGGAATTATCTATGGATAAACGAATTTCGTAATTATGTGCAAAAATTTCTCAATTCGGTTTGGAAGTTCTCGAGATATGACGAAATACGCAAAAAGTAACATTAACTCCATTAAAGTAAATTAAAGTCAAATTAACTAAAATTTGACAGGGATAGCCTGGTTGGTAGGGCGCTGGGCCTATGTTCGTGGGTTCGAATCCCGCCAGCCGAAAACTCCCCGTGTAGTAAAGTGACTGATGCACGTTAAATCTGTCGAGTCGCAAAAGTCCTCCATGTTCCCATAACAAATCAATACCTCTGGAGGTACTGGATTGGAGATCGATCGTTCTCTGATTCAGGTCAAAATTACAATCTGTGGATGAATGAATGGATGTATGAATGTGTCCGTCCTAGAAACGGGTGTGACGTATGGTGTGGCTGAAGTCGAATTCCTGGTCATACATCGCACCCCCTCAACAATAACAACTAAAATTTATTTTTGTATCGCTCTCTTATTGGCAAAACTATGGGAAACATATTTCCCTGTTTTCGTCTATCCACTATGCTTCGGGAGTCAGAAATCCGAATTCGTTCAAAAAAAGTTATGTTAAGTTGTGTCAAATTTCGTAATTTAAAATATCGTCTACATTTATTTATTATCATGTTTGAGATCACCCCCTTGAGCTATTAAAATTGAATTCTAAACGCGAAGATCCGATCATTAGATCAAAAGTTATTCAGGGTGTTATGCTTTTTATGTTGCTCATACGTACTTCGAAACATCCTCTTATAAAAATTTCGTACTAAATGTAATTTCTTATGCAATATCAGTTTCAATCAAATACACATTACATTTAATGTTAAGAGAAAAGATAATTTAGTTTGTGTACTAAAATGGAATGGATCTTTAATATTTAAGGTAAATATTATTCCCTTATAGGAAGCATTGAAATGGTTACAAACTTCTCAGGGTAAGGCAGGACAGGAATTCAGAAATTTTATGGAAAGACATGGCCATAGATCAGTGCAAGAGGTAATGTTTAAATATTTGTAGTTTAACCCATTTGTGCCTAGCGTCTTTTCAAAAGGACGGTTCATCTTTTCAAAAATGAAAAAGTGGTAGCACAAGTGTTTCATTATTTTTATTTAATAACCTTCACTGAACAGCAGACCCAATTTTTAAATTTATGTCTACCAATGTTTTTTTTTGCATTTTTTTTTTTAATATTTCCAATGGCACATTAAAAGACAAGTGAACATCAAAAAGAAAACAATAAATCTATAAATATGAGCGAGTAGTTCAGTAGCGTTCCCAGAACAGATTTCATCCCAGACCACTGTGGGACACGTCTACCTATGTTCAACTCGGTAATCTTGAAACCAATCCAGAAGACAAGAGAATACTTTTATCAAGTATTGGGAGAAAGTTAGCCTTCATAGAGGACTTTTTGATGGAATTAAAGTTCCGCCTTTGCGCTACATGGAGAGGAAAATCAAAGTCTTCCTACTGTTTAGACTGACGGCATGGGGACACTTAACCCAAAGTCCATCTACCAATGAGGATATCTTAAGTCAGCACTGTTGTGGGTGTGAGCCGGGTGCAGAACTCGTACCGACCATTTGTCGCTGGGATTCAAACCCGGTTCACCTTATTGAGAGGCAAGTGCTCTATCCTCTGATCCACCTCAGCTCAAGTTCTTCATTAGTAGGATTTATGATGCAGAAACAAAATACCTATGTCTACCATAAAATATTTATAATATAAATATTTATTTTTTGGACATGAAGTTGGAGCACATATACATGCATTTTACAGTTTTGGTTAATATTTTAATCATTAAAAGGCTAGGCAAGAGAATATCGCCTATAAGTTACATATGATTACAAAACAGTTCTGTTTCACCTTTAGAGACTGATTCTGAAAATTAAAAATAATAAAAATTAAATCCTATTTTATATTACTTTAGGGCGCTTTTTTGTGACATAAAATGAAAACCAAATGTAGTAAAAGAAATAATATGTAAGGTCTTATCGAGGAAAAAATTTAAACTGCTTCACAGTACACTGCGGCTATTAAAAAAGCAGTTATAAAATTTTATTCAGTATTTTAAAAGCGTTCATAGTTCCAGAAAAGATTGGGCTATTTTTTTCGTGATTTATATAGCAAAGCTCTTAGAATTATAAAGATATTAAGGTGGAAGGAAGCTTTTAATATCTTACTATCATTTTGGTCTATGCAAGTTTCTCATTTATAAAAAGGACATCATTTCTAAAAGCTTCGAGCATAATCTTCCAAATTGAGTAAACCGTTATGCCTCGTGATTCGTTCTCCTAGAGCTGGTGTAAAAGTGTTTGAATTATTATTTCACAATTTTACATTGCCTCCACCTCATTTGGGCTCTAAATTGACTCAATATGAGCCCTATAAGGACAAACACTAAGAGAGAAATGTTGAGATGTTTAGAATTTTTAATATTGACCCTAAATTGGCCAACATTTGGCCAATATAGGGTACATATTGGTTGAATAATGAATATAAAATATCAAGTGAATCTGACAATTCTATATAGACCCGATATTGTTAGTAAAGTGGCTGTAAAATATCGGGTAAATTCGACAATTCTATATATGGCCAATACCGGAAAAATAATGGCCTTATGAGCCTTTTACTGAGTCAGCATTCATGAATATTGGTCCAATGAGGGCCATTATTTTGTTGCTAGGCTATGTAAGGCCAAGAATGTTGAAATCGTACAAGAGAATTATTTATCACAGAATAAAATTGCGTTGTTAAAGTCTGTTTTTGTAAATATTATTCTGGTAATGCTTCTAATTTTGGTCTTGTTTTTATGTTAAAATGAATATAAAGACTTGACAACATAAATCGAAAGAATTATATATATATTTTTTTTATAGTTTGATTTATATTCGATTCCATGGAGAGAAACACCTGAACAGTTAGTGAATTCCCTCCAGGTAAGAAAATTAATGATATTATCAGGTACTATTAATTACACTGGTCAACAAAAGAAACTTTTTTCTTGGTGCCTGGGATTTTAGAACGGATTTTAGCTATATTTGAGTTGCTGAATCTAAATATGAAATCAGTTTTTCTCTATCAGCTTTACATTTTGAGACAATTTCGATTATCTATCAATGTTATTTTCTGTTCAATACTTTCAAGTATGAATGACGTAAAATTTATACAAGGATTGTCAGTCCTATTTTTATAATAATTTAAATAAAATAATATTTATGAACTAATAATATTATTATTTTATAAATAAATGCTATTACTTTAACCCAATTGTCATAAAAAGAAGACTAACACTACGTCAAATATAACTAACTAAATATTAATGGAATCAATCGAAGGAACCGTAACAAGTGGACTTATCCCGATTTAGTCTCTGCAAGGTGCCCGATTTCTCACTAAGAAGTTGTGGCAATTCCAACGTTTTACCAGCTACCAGAGGTCTGTGAGGACGAGTATTGTCCCTCTGATCAGTCTTCTGATACCACTGAAGGTGATTATGAGAAGATATCATTTATTCAACCAAGATAGCAAGATATCAAGATAGAAGATATCAAGTTTCAACCAAGATGAGCTAAATGACCTCATCAGAGATATGAACTTGTCGAAAGAAGTTTCTGAAGAACTGGCTTCTAGGTTAAAGAATACAAATTTACTTGAACCAGAAACCAAAATTACATTTTATCGTACAAGAGAGAAAGATGTGCTACCCTATTTATCTCAAGAAGAAAATTACTTTTTTACGATGTTAGAGGTCTCCTTAGAAAAATGGGTCTTCCAGAATATTTTCCGAATGATTGCGCCTATTTACTGATAGTTCTAAGTGAAGTTTGAATATTCTACATAATGGGAACAAATATGATTCAATACCAATTGCTCACTCAACGAAAATGAACGAAGAATACGATACCAAAGTTTTGGTTTTGAAGAACATAAAGTATAATGAACATCAATGGGTGATTTGTGCAGACTTAAAAATGCTAAACTTTCTCTTTGGACATCAAAGTGGCTACATCATTTGCTTCCTCTGGGATAGCAGAGACAAAACACATCACTGGGTTAGGAAAAAAATGGCCTAAGATAGAAAACATGGACATAAAGGAAAAGAATATCATTAATATACATAATATTAATAATCACATATAGTTGCACGAGCGAAAATCATTTTTCGTTCACTGCATATCAAGCTGGGTCTTACGAAGCAGTTGGTAAAAGCTCTTGATAAGAATGGATCATGCTTTACATATATAGGGAAGAAAATGCTTCAGTTGAGTACGGAAAAAATTAAAGCAGGAGTATTTGATGATCCACAAATAAGGCAACTGATTAAAGACCCTGCCTTTGCAAATTCGATGAATGAGGAAGAGAAAAAAACCCGAAAGAGAAAAAACCCGAAACCCGAATTCCTGCAGTTATCAGAAATTTTCTGGGCAAACGTGAAACTGAAAACTATGTTGAACTAGTAAACGAAATGCTTAATAGCTTCAGATCCCTTGGGTGTAATATAAGCTTTAAGGTGCACTATACATACAACACACAACCACCTAATAATTTAGGAGACACTAGTGAGGAACAAGGTGAAAGATTTCACCAGGATATTAATATTATGGAGGATCGCTACCAAGGGAGATGGGATGCTCATATGATGGCAGATTACTGCTATTCTTTAAAATGGGATCGTGCCGAAATACATTCAAGAATGTCACGGGAGAGAAGTTTCCGAAGTGTTCAGTGAGTAATTTGCTTAATTGATGACTTTTCTCTTTCTTTGTACATAATAATATTTGTATAATAGAATAAAAATTCCGTGTTTAGTTAGTTTATTTAATTCATGGATTTCATTTGAAATAGTGTAACGTATAGTTCACTAAAATGTTATTATATCTTAAAAACTCGAGCTGCTACGCAAAAACTAATACTGTATTTGAATTCAGAGCATCAAATTCACATGAAATCACCTCAAAAAACCTTGGCATCAAAATCACTGTTGACCAGTGTAATTATTAATCAAGTAAAAGATCCAAAGACACAAAAATCTTCACAGTTTCGAGAATTATCTTACTCAAAAAAATTGCTACTAATTTTCTTTCAGGTGTAATATATAGAATGAAATTATTGCAATCAGGACACGGAACAATTATTATTATTTTCTTCATTTTATCGGAACTGTAAAGAACATTTTTTTTCTTCGGATGGATGTCAGAGGAGGGTTACGGGTTGAAATCACCATCTCCATAGCTTTCCAGACATGCCTAATCGGGTAGAGGTCTGGAGAACTCACTGGCCAATATCCACCCAGTAAATGTCTTGGGTTTTTAGAAAATTATCGACCAAAATAGCTCCATTTAGCCTCACGTTGTCATCGATTAAAATGAGTTAGGTCCAGCTGCACTCCTTGCATTTATTATTATTAATTTTATTTTATTTCTTTCCTAAGATTCAAGGTAAAAAATGTCTATTTACGTACATATAGGACATTACGATAAAACGAATATCGTGTAAGGAAAAATCTGAAATAAAATAAAATAAAACTTACAATTAGCACTTCAAGTAACTTAAGAGAAAACACGAAAGTTTTTACTGAGAGTTCATAGTTTGTTTGAAATTTAATCTCTCTTCAAGATTTTGAAAGTAAATATGTAAGAACATGCTACTAATCTAACCTTGCATGAATTATTACTTTGTAGGCTCTGACTGGATTCGTTTCGAAAGAGTCATTAGAAAAGAAATCTCAGACTTTCAATGATGCTCTGTCAGAAATAACAATACGACCAGGATTTTTCTCTAAGTATATGACTTTCATTATTCACATTTTCTGCAAATAAATTCTTGTACTTTCTAATTCTTCTAATGTATTACTAAATTGTAATTCTAGAAAACTTTTCATTTCGTTGCGTTTAACATGCTAACAAAAATTTAGTTAACACAGGCTATAATAACTGTACATTTTCTTTACAAAATTATCTTTGTTCTTTTCTAAAAATATCAGCTTTTAAGAAAACCGAAATAAATTATAAGTGGTAAGCGGAGTGAGTGGGGACAAAAATTCCTTGTTTCTATTAAAAAAAATTTTAAATTAACAAAAATGAGCAGTACTTTCTTGTCATTAATAATTATTTTGAAGTAATCAGATTATGTTGTTAATATTGTATGCGTGCCAGACTGAAACTAAAAAATAAAATTAAAAAAACTGGTTGACCAGTCATTTCATCTATAGATGATTTTCAAAGGGAACAATTATATTCTTAACTATTAATTATTCAAAACTATTTACATTTTCTCAGGTAAGTAGCAGTCTTATTTGAATAATATGTTAGAGAGAATATATAAATTTATAAAATTATGGAGAATATATTATAGAGAATATGTTGTAACCGTTAAAAGATCTTGATAGTCAGGATATTTTCAGGATTCTTCCCAAAAACAAGTTGGTATGGAATATCTTTCTTGGCAGTTTCATTTCCATCTTGATAAGCGAGAATATGCAATATTTCGAGGAAATAATTTAAATGCATCAAAATGTCTATAATCTTTGCCTGGTTATATGCTTTTTAATTATACTTGATTTTTTTTGTTTCAGAATGATCTTGAAATATATCTTACCCTTCACTAGAAAAGGTGTTCAAAATCGAGAAATGTCAAAGGTAAGGATTCTTTAATTCATAACATCGACTTCGTAATATATTATACTATTTTGAAGAAAAAAATGAACTCTATACAAAACTAAATTTAGTTTTGAAATTCTCACACCCGACTTAGATAAGATCAGGTACTTGTATAAATACAACCAAAAATTTTATTCTTCAGGGTAATTTAAATATATGTATATAAGGTATACAGTTATGCTTCAAACATTGGTAAAATTAAAGGCCTGGATACGTAGCTTTAGAAGCGACAAGCCACTATTTTGGTAATTGCAACTTTCTTGTGACCGCAACTCTCTATGTTGAAATACGGAGTTTCAACTCTTAAGCACCACTTTTTACTGATTAATATTTTCATACTTATGAAGATAACTTAAATATTTACTATTTATTCTTAAAACTCTTTTTATATGTCTGCAGTTATATATTTATTTTATGCTATTTACTGAGAATAATATTTTATCTATAAGCTAAAACTTTCTCGTTTCGTCTTTTATTATTTGGTACAAAAAAAATTTCTGAACTCTTAGAAATTTTTTGCATTTGGTTTTTTTCATGATGTGCAAAAGGAGATATGATTTGTGATTTAAATAATTTAAATTTATAATTTAAAACATCTTACAGTGCTCGAAAAAAAATTTTTTTCTAATATTTTAAATATTTTAATCTAATATTTTAAATACCAATTATTATTTGGTCTTTTATAATAAGCAATTGCTAAATCTTTTAGGACAATTAATTGATTTAAAAATGAAGCTTTAATTGAAATTTTAGATGTAAGTAACAAAATCTAAAATTGCTGATTAATTTTTAAAGTTTCTGACTGAAAATTGTTGATTAATTTTTAAAATACTAAATTAAATAAAAATGTGCTTGTCAATTAAAATTTAAAACCAATAAATTCAATAAAACAGCATTAATATTTGTGGAAGAATTTCTCATTTTTTTCAAAACACAAAAATCTTTAATTGTATTATCTTATCATCATCTCATCGGTAGAACAAAAATAAGAGTTAAGCTTTTTAATTTTCTTAGATTCACTATGATTGAGGTGTATTATTTGAGTTAGAATATTGTTTGGTACATATTTTATTTTATTGAATAATTCTTGATATTTAAAAAAAAACATTTTAATTTCATCAATTGAATAAAGGTGGTATATAAAATGAAACAATTGAACATACATTTTACTGAATTTAATTTTATTTTATTGTATTTAAGCAAAAGAATTATATAAAAGTAATAATTTCATACAAAAGTATTTAAATTACATTCGATTTGATTATCTATTGATTTTATATATTAATCATAAGTAAGAATGTTAATAGCTTATATTTAATGATATATCTTTAATAAGAAGACATAATCGTCGTTGAAATAATGGTTAATTCATTGAAATAGACACATTATTCTTTTATAAAATGAAACAAAGCAAATCAAACTTTCAATATAGTAATTGAGACATTTCTTAAAAACTTAAAAGGCAAAAATCAACATAAGTAAACAAAATAATGAGCAATTTAAAATATATCGGAAAAATCATTTTTTTTACCATTTTTTTCATATTCAATTTTTATCTTACTTAGAATCATTTGGCGTCCTTTTATTTTTGACAATTCCATACCAGGGCTAAAGCGAATAGAAGGGCTGGTTCACTCCTTTGAAGTATCTCTCGCCTCGCCGATTCTCCGACGTCACTCTAGTGACGTCACTTTGGCGCAAAGCTCGCACTTTTACTTCAAGAACGGAGCGTTTGGCCTTACTAGCTCTAACTAATATTGGATCATTTCTTTTTGCGAGATATTCTAAGACATTTGTTATTTTCTATAATGACTTTCCTCAGTTTTTGCAGTGAATTTACAAGAATTTAAAACTATTATCGAAATGCCAGTTTGCGCGATTGCAACTTGCAAAAATTCTGATATAAA